AAATGTCAGCGTGCCGGAAGAAGCAAAGACCACCAGCACTGAAGCGATGGTCCTCTGCCATCAACTCCACTGGACCGGCCACATTGTCCGGATGCCCGACCACCGTCTCCCAAAGCAGTTGCTCTACTCTGAACTTAAGAACGGAAAACGGAACGTTGGTGGACAGGAAAAGAGATTTAAAGATGGCCTCAAAGCCAACCTTAAAAACTCTGGCATAGACACTGAGAACTGGGAATCCCTGGCCCTTGAGTGCTCCAGCTGGAGGTCAGCTGTGACCAGCAGTGCTGCAGAATTCGAGGAGGCACGAGTGGAGGGTGAAAGAGAGAAATGTGCCAGGAGGAAGGCCCCGACCGGGACCGCCTTCCACCTGGAAACCAATGCCCACACTGTGGGAGAGATGCGGGTCAAGAATAGGGCTCCACAGCCACCTGTAAACCCACAAAAATAGTCATCAAGGAAGACCATCTTACTCATCCAATGAGGGATCGCCTAAGTAAGTAAAGGGTAATGTATCTGATGGGAGGTTCAGATGGGACAAAGAATGTGGTTTAATTCCACTGAAGGGTGAGATAAAGTACATCGAAAGGCATTTTGGATTGAGTATGGGATTTGTTGGTCAAAGTATGGGATTTGTTGTTCATTCCTTGAAGGCACACCGGAACAGCCAGGTTTTTAGGCTCTTCCTGAAGGCTGTCAGGGTGGGCGTTTGCCTAATCTCTCTGGGAAGCGAGTTCTAAAGTCGAGGGGCCACCACAGAGAAGGCCCTCTCCCTCGTCCCCACAAGTCGCGCTTGTGATGGAGGTGGGAGCAAGAGGAGGGCCTCCCTGGAAGATCGGAGGGATTGTGCAGGTTCATAGAAGGAAATGGGGTCACGAAGGTAGGCGGGTCCCAAACAGTTCAGGGCTTTGTTGTTGTTATTCATTCGTTCAGTCGTCTCCGACTCTTCGTGACCTCATGGACCAGTCCACGCCAGAGCTCCCTGTTGGCCGTCACCACCCCCAGCTCCTTCAAGGTCAGTCCAGTCACTTCAAGGATGCCATCCATCCACCTTGCCCTTGGTCGGCCCCTCTTTCTTTTGCCTTCCACTTTCCCCAGCATCATTCCCTTCTCTAGGCTTTGCTGTCTCCTCATGATGTGGCCAAAGGACTTCCACTTTGTCTCTAGTCTCCTTCCCTCCAGTGAGCAGTCGGGCTTTATTTCCTGGAGGATGGACTGGTTGGATCTTCTTGCAGTCCAAAGCACTCTCAGAACTTTCCTCCAACACCACAGGCCTTTGTAGGTGATGTTTATATGTTGGGAGGGCTTGGATGGTGTCTTCCTTCCTGGTAGAAAGAAGGGGGTTGGACTGGATGGCCTTTAGGGGTCCCCTCTAACTCTGTGATTCGGCCACCTTCCGTCAGGGAAAAGGACGGCGGCTGCAGAGCTGTTGCTGCCTGCGGAGAGGCTGTGGGCCCGTCCTTTTTTTAACCCTGGACCTGACCGGAGCCAGAGAGGCCGAGGCAGGCTCAGGCGGCTTTCCAGGAATCCCAGGAATAGAACCAGGAGTCAGGAGGTCAGTGGATGCGCAGGGAAGAAGGCCCCCTCCCATGCCAGCCTCCAGGGAGAACCTCTGCAGCGCAAGCCATAGAGCAGTGGTTCTCAACCTTCCTAATGCCGCGACCTCTTAGTACAGTTCTACATTTTGTGGTGACCCCCAACCATAAAATTATTTTTGTTGCTCCTTCATATCTGCATTTTGCTACTGTTATGAATCGTAATGTAAATATCTGATATGCTGGATGTATTTTCATTCACTGGACCAAATTTGGCACAAATACCAAATACGCCCTAATTTGAATTTGGTGGGGTTGAGGGCAAATTGATTTTGTCATCTGGGAGTTGTAGTTCCTGGGAATTATAGTTCACCTACAATCAAAGAGCATTCTGAACTCCACCAACAACGGAATTGAACCACACTTGGCCCACAGAACTCTCATGACCAACAGAAAATACTGGAAGGTTTTGGTGGGCATTGACCTTGAGTTTTGGAGTTGTAGTTCACCTACATCCACTCAAACAATGACGAGTCTGAACCGAACTGAGCACAATCACTCAATATGCCCACCTGCAAACACTGGTGGAGTTTGGGAAAAATAAGCATTGTCATTTGGGAGTTGTTGTTGTTGGAATTTATAGTTTACCTACAATCAACCCAACCAATGATAGAGTTGGGCCAAACTTCCCACACAGAGCCCCCATGATCAACAGAAAATACTGGAGGGATTTGGGAGGAATTGACAGTGATTTAGGGGAGATGTAGTTCACCTACCTCCAGAGAGCACTGTGTTCCAAATACCATCAGAAATATGTGTTTTCTGATGGTCTTTGGTGACCCCTCTGACACCCCCTCGCGACCCCCTCAGGGGTCCCGACCCCCAGGTTGAGAAACGCTGCCATAGAGGGACAGCCACAATATGTACAAGGTTGGAAGCAAAACCCCAAAGGGCCCTGGGACACCCACTCTGCACGATCCCTTATGGCAGGCATGGGCACACTTTGCCCTTCCAGGGGTTTTGGACTTCAACTCCCACAATTCCTAACGACTGGTCCAGAACACCTGGAAGGGGAAGGTTTGCTCATGCCTGGACTAAAGGCAGCTTGCAGTAAAATTTTGATTACTCTATGTAACATGATGGGAGCCCTCGATAGCGCAGTAGGTTAATAATAATAATAATAATAATAATAATCCTTTATTTGTACTCCTGCAGGATTCGGTGCGGCTTACAAGAGGCCGAGCCCAAAGTACATCATTAACAAAACCACAACAAACAACAATACAACGCAACAATAAATAAGCAAGCAATAGAACAATAACAAAAGCACGACACTGTGAAAAACCTGTGGCAGGGCCAAATGTAATTGGTTAAAATTCTAAAAATGCTGGGCATGTCCAGGTGAGGTAGAATGGATATTTTGGGAGTAGAAGGGTGTGCAGACAATTCTAACTCTCTCATAAAGTGCATTAGGGACAATTGCATGGGATTCCTTAATCTGGGAAGGCACACTGAACATCCATGTTTTCAAGCTCCTTCTGAAGACTTAAACCGCTGAGCTGCTGAGCTTGTTGACCGAAAGGTTGCAGTCGAATCCGGGGAGTGGGGTGAGCTCCCATTGTTAGCCCCAGCTTCTGCCAACTAGCAGTTCGAAAACATGCAAATGTGAGTAGATCAAAAGGGAATCTTCCATTTCTAGATGTCATAGTCATAGAATCATAGAATCAAAGAGTTGGAAGAGACCTCATGGGCCATCCAGTCCAACCTGCCAAGAAGCAGGAATATTGCATTCAAATCACCCCTGACAAGTGGCCATCCAGCCTCTGCTTAAAAGTTTCCAAAGAAGGAGCCTCCACCACACTCCGGGGCAGAGAGTTCCTCTGCTGAACGGCTCTCACAGTCAGGAAGTTCTTCCTAATGTTCAGATGGAATCTCCTCTCTTGTAGTTTGAAGCCATTGTTCCGCGTCCTAGTCTCCAAGGAAGCAGAAAGGAAGCTTGCTCCCTCCTCCCTGTGGCTTCCTCTCACATATTTATACATGGCTATCATATCTCCTCTCAGCCTTCTCTTCTTCAGGCTAAACATGCCCAGCCCTTAAGCCGCTCCTCATAGGGCTTGTTCTCCAGACCCTTGATCATTTTAGTCGCCCTCCTCTGGACACATTCCAGCTTGTCAATATCTCTCTTGAATTTTGGTGCCCAGAATTGGACACAATATTCCAGGTGTGGTCTAACCAAAGCAGAATAGAGGGGTAGCATTACTTCCCTAGATCTAGACACTATGCTCCTATTGATGCAGGCCAAAATCCCATTGGCTTTTTTTGCTGGCCACATGACCTTGGAGGTGTCTATGGACAACACCGGCTCTTCGGCTTAGAAATGGAGATGAGCACCAAAACCCAGAGTTGGACACGACTGGACATAACGTCAGATAAAACCTTTACCTTTACCTAATGTAACATGATTTTTGTTCTATCACAAAACATGGGAAAATGCATTAAACTGTACAAAGGGACATCTTGCAGCACATTTGACTCTACAGTTTTTCAATGAATATCTCATTGAGTCTCAACCCATTCAACCTAGATTGCAGCGGAAACCAAGACAAACTTTCTGGAGTTGAACAACTCCTTTCAAAGCAAGGACAACACAACTAAACAGGAAAGAACAATTTCAAACCAGGAACAGAACATGACTCAAATTTTGTCACATCGTGTAATATCTCTCCCTCCCTCCCTCCCTCCCTTCCTTCCTTCCTTCCTTCCTTCCTTTCCTCCTTCCTTCCTTCCTTCCTTCCTTCCTTCCTTCCTTCCTCCTTTCCTCTTTCCTTCCTTCCTTCCTTCCTTCTTTTCTTCCTTCCTCTCTTCTTCCTTTCTTCTCCTTCCTTCCTTCCTTCTCCTCCCTCCTCCCTTCCTTCCTTCCTTCCTTCCTTTCCTCTCCCTCTCCCTCCCTCCCTCCCTCCTTTCTTTCTTTCTTTCTTTCTTTCTTTCTTCTTCTTTCTTTCTTTCTTCCTTCCTTCCTTCCTTCCTTCCACCCTCCTTTCCCTCTTCTCCTTCCTTCCTTCCTCCTTTTTTCCTTCCTTCCTCCTTTTCTCCTTCCTCCTCTTTCTCCTTCCTTTCCTTCCTTCTTTCCCCTTTCTTCTTTACTTCCTTCTTTCTCTTTTCTTCCTTCCTTCCTTTTCCCTTCCTTCCTCCTTCTTTCCTTCCTCCTTTCCTTTCCTCCCTTCTTTCCTTCTCCCTTCTTCCTTCCTTCCTTCCTTCCTTCCTTCTCCTTCCTTCCTTCCTTCCTTCCTTCCTTCCTTCCTTCCTTCCTTCCTTCCTTCGCAATCTTTTCTTCCTGACTTTCAGTCCATCCATCCTTTCCTCCTTCATAGTCCTTCACTCTCTCCTTCTCTTCTTCCCTTCTTTTTCTTCCCTCCCACCCCCCAGGAGGACCCCTTTGTGGCACATTGCCCTCTTCTCCCGCCTTACCCGAATGGAGCTCCTTGACCAAAGAGGACATGGTGTTGGTGATGGAATCGGCCGCAACCAGCAAGTCATTTCGGAGGTTCCTTCGTGCTCCTGGCAAAGAAAGGGAGGCAAAGGGAGGTGACGCAAGACTTGAGCCCCGAGAAGCACACTTGCAACCCCAGGCTGCAAGGACACCCCACTTGATGAACAGGAAACCATCAGCCGCCTTCAAGGGGAATGGTTTGTATTGGGCAGAAACCAGGAACTCCTCCTGGAGGGAGTGGCTCCCTTATGTTCTGCTAGGCTGTAGCAGAAGGGATGCTAAGAGACCCCCAACAAGGGGTCAAAGGAAAATGGGAGTTCTCTCTACTCCCAGTCACCTGGAACAACCGATATATGTGTGCAAAATTTCTTTAGGGTGGAGTCAGTGTGGAACAATGCTACAATGTGGTGCATGCCAATACAAAATTTCCCTAAAATTATTTTCTTTTTAATGCCATATATATATATATATATATTTCTGTGTGCCCAGTCCAAGGCTGCAAAGGCAAGTGGCTCAGACACCGGAGTAGGGAAGGGATGCAGTTACAGTCAGGACCTTGGAAGAAACCCAATCTCTCTGCAACTGAGAAGCAGACAGAGTTCACAAGGCATTCTGTGGGGAGGAAGGCTCTTATAGTTCTCTCCAAGGGTCTCGCTGCACGAGACAATCAGCAAGCCAAAGGCAAGGCTTAAAACTATTTTAGAAACAGCCGGGACATCACCCTCGTAGCATAAACACTGAAACAGAGCGGAACGGAATGGCTAAAGGCCCAATGGAAAGGAGCCACCGAAGGTCATGTGCCATAATTGAGGGGCCAGTGCCCAAAAGGCCCTGTTTCTGCTCCTCTCCAAAAACCAGAGCCTTCCCAGGATGGATCTACACAGCCCTCTGATCCCAGATTATCTGCTTGTCCAAGATTATCTAACGGTGTAGACTCATATTATCCACTTCAATCCAGATCCTGGGATATAGAGCAGTGTGCATGCAGCCCCAACAGACTCAGGCAGAAAGAATTCTGCTATTGCACAACGAAGTTATCTGCCTTCCCCAGCACACACCACAAAACAATACCCCCATCCCTCCACACTCCCCACACCACCACACAGCCCCCCCCCCATGCCACAACAGTGCAAAACCATGGAGTTCAACTTAGCTACCGCTCTAGGATAAAAGTTATCTGCCAGCTGTTCGTCCTTGTCTTTGTCACCCTGTGCCGTCTACCGGATGGCAATAATTCAAAAAAAAAATGCTGGGTGAGATGGATCCCCAGGAAGGATTTGACCTTTCTTAAAGGCATCAGGAATTATAATACATTTTCAAAAGCGGGGAGAGGATGCTGATTTGGGTGTTGGAGAGCCTTCAAAAGGATATGATGTTTGAACCCAAACCACCTGGCCCTAAAGATGTCTGCAAAGACCACACTAAGCAAATCTACAAATACCTAAATCTGCAACAGGGGAAGGCTTACTGTATTCCAAAACATGCCGGACTCCTTTCAGGGGGCCATTCTCCTGACCTCACAACCTCTGAGGATGCCTGCCATAGGTGCAGGTGAAACGTCAGGAGAGAATGCTTCTGGAACATGGCCAGACAGCCTGAAAAACTTACACCAACCCAGTGATTCCGGCCATGAAAGCCTTCGACAATACAGTCTCCATTTTGCTTTTATTTATTTTTTCATGTCAGCAGCAATTTGAGAAACTGCAAGTTGCTTCTAGTGTGAGAGAATGGGCCATCTGCAAGGATGTTGCCCAGGGGATGTTGCTCAGATGTTTTGATGTTTTCCTATCCTTATGGGAGGCTTCTCCCATGTCCCCGCATGGGGAGCTGGAGCTGACAGAAGGAGCTCATCCATGATCTCCCCAGACCTGGTCTTCAGTCCTGCCGGCACAAGGGTTGAACCCATTGCACCACTGGGGTCTTCTCCACCTTGAAAGCACGTAAGACAATGGCACACTCACTGCCGTGATTGCACAGGGTCCGTGGCGACTCACCTTGTGCAAAGGCTTCCTGGACGTCTCCCCCGAGTCCAGCCAGGGAGTCCTGGGGCCCGTGGGTCGGGGTGGAGCCTGCTGAGGTGGACCGGACCGGCATGGGCATGGGGCGCCCGCTCCCGTGGGTCGGGGAGGTGTGCGGAGAGACCCCGGCCTGAGCCTGAAACACACACAGAGACACCAACATCGTCAGCCACCGCCTTCCCCATTAACACAACACTCCTCAAACCTATGTTCCAATTGCATGCTGAAAGGCCATCTAGTCCAACCCTGTGTTGGGAATCAGCCTGTATTTGTGTTTCAGGATCCTGATGTGGGAAATGATGAGGGAAATGATGGTGCCGAGGCGGAGGTACAAGATGGAGATGGTTTGGTCAATGATTTTCAGGCAGACAGTGACAGAGAGACCCTAGTGCAAAGGGCAGTTTCTCATGAGAATATCCCTGCTGGGCCTAGCAATGATGGCTCACTCCCTCTCTCTGTGAGCTCTCAAGATTTGAGTTTGGAAAACAATCTGACATCTAGGAATTTTAATGAGCAGCCAGATAGGGAGATGAAGAATAGGCGTCTGGAGATTAGGCAGGATCGACAGCAAACTCCGTGTTTATGTCGCTCCGAAAGGTTTCATCTGATAATGGGGAAATGTGGGGGAAAGCTAAACCAATTTCTGAGTTTTGGGATATAAGGTTTGCCTCAAGGGGAAACCTGTTAGATCAGGCATCGTTTGGAAACCAAGTTCATGTGCCATGGAAATCCTGTTCAAGGGGTCTTGCTCCTATGGAGTTTTTTAGCCTTCTGGATTGTCTTTCCATCCTGTTGATTCCTGTCTGGATTGCCCCCCCAAACCTATGCTCCAAATACATGCTGAAAGGCAATGCATGCCACCCTCTACGCCAGGCATGGGTAGGTGTGTTCAGCGTGGGCACAATCGGAAAAGACTTCCTTGCAAACCTGTAGGCAAGAGGGGTTAGTCTGAAATGAGCCTGGGCTCTCTTTCCCCTCTGTCCCGGCACTGTTTAGCAACAGCAAGGTTTCCCCAGATTTTGGGGGAGTGGAAGTGAAGAAGCACGCTCCTTTCCCATCCACAGCAATGCCAGATTCCTTTAGCACCCAAGAGGGCATGCTTTGGAGGGCGGCATCCATAGATTTCCAGCACCTCCATAACTGTAGACCGTTGCAACCGTCATATCTCGTGACGGTTTTCAGCTGAGTCTTCCTGTATGGCAGAAAGTGTTGCACTCTAGGTCAGGAAGAAGCCCTCTGACTTTAAAACACACCACACGAAGAGTGAAGAAACACATCTTCTTTTATTGAAGCTTAGTAAATAGACAGAAGAAATAAATGCTTGTAAGAAAATAAGGAAGTTCCAAAAAGTAATAAGTCCATAATAGGCAGTAACACAAAGCAATGTCCACACCAGATATAAAAGCAATCCAATACATCATTCATCCAGACAGGAATCAACAGGATGCAAAGACAATCCAGAAGACTAAAAAAACTCCACAGGAACAAGACCCCTTGAACAGGATTTCCATGGCACATGAACTTGGTTTCCAAACAATGCCTGATCTAACAGGTTTCCCCTTGAGGCAAACCTTCTATCCCAAAATCCCAGTTCACAAAATACAATATACAAAATACAATATAACAACAACAACTATAACTAGTTAAAACAATCCAATTAATATAATAGCAGCAATAAAATCATCTTGTGGTCAATGTTCGCCAATTCATAAATCCATAGTCTATCCAGCATTATCATAGTCCTTTCCTACTCTGGTCGTCATTGTCCTTTATCCATCTGCCAGCTTACCCAAAGGCCTGGTCCCATATCCAGGTTTTTAACTTCCTTCTGAAAGAGAGGAGGGATGTCGATGACCTAATTTCCCCGGGGAGTGAATTCCACAGGCAAGGGGCCACCACCAAGAAGGCCCTGTCCCTTGTCCCCACCAGTCTCACTTGTGATAAAGGTGGTGCCAAGAGCAGGGCTTCCCCAGAGGATCTTAAACTCCGAGGTGAGACGTAGAAGGAGATACGTTCGGACAGGTACGCTGGGCCAGAGCCATATAAGGTTTTGTAGGTCAAAACACTGAGTTTGCTGTTGGTCCTGGCTAATCTTCAGCCGCCTATTCTTCAGCTCCCTATCTGGCTACTCATTAAAATTCCCAGGTGTCAGATTGTTTTCCAAACCCAAATCTTGAGAGCTCACAGAGAGAGGGAGTGAACCATCATGGCTAGGCCCAGCAGGGATATTCTCATGAGAAACTGCCCTTTTCACTGGGGCCTCTCTGTCATTGTCTGCCTGAAAATCATTGACCAAACCATCTCCATCTTGTACCTCAGCCTCGGCAACATCATTTCCCTCATCATTTCCCACACCAGGATCCTGAAACACAAACACAGGCTGATTCCCAACATAGGGTTGGACTAGATGGCCTTTGGGATCCTTTCCAATTATTTCATAAAGCTATCTAAAATCTCCAAAGGACCCCCAGAATTTGGAACAATTGATGGCTCCATGCATCGCCACCTTAGCATGCCAGAAAGACAGGATTCATAGCACTTGCTTAACCTGCAGCAAATACGGGCATACGGGTCCAGAAAGAGAGTCAGATGAGGAAACCATGTCAGAGAAAGCAAAGAAATGGCTGGCTAGACATCTCTTTGTGTTTACTGTAATTTTATATTGTTATGCATTCATATGATTTATGTTATTGTGATGTTGTTTATTGTTTTCGTTTTGCTGTAATTTGTTGTTTGGGCTTGGTGTCCTGTAAGCCGCCCTGAGTCCCCATCGGGGAGATGGTGGCGGGGTATAAATAAAAAATATTATTATTATTATTATTATTATTATTATTATTATTATTACTATTTGCAAGGGAAGTGCTACAAGCAGGAAGGCTGGTAGAATCATTGTGGCTTCTCAACCAAGACTACCAACTGTGGCAATGTAGTTATCCTACAAGGTGCCCATGATGTATAAATACGTGAGAGGAAATCATAGGGAGGAGGGAGCAAGCTTGTTTTCTGCTTCCCTGGAGACTAGGACGTGGAACAATGTCTTCAAACTACAGGAAAGAAGGTTCTACCTGAACATTAGGAAGAACTTCCTGACTGTGAGAGCCGTTCAGCAGTGGAACTCTCTGCCCCGGAGTGTGGTGGAGGCTCCTTCTTTGGAAGCTTTTAAACAGGGGCTGGATGGCCATCTGTCAGGGGTGCTTTGACTGCAATTTTCCTGCTTCTTGGCAGAATGGGGTTGGACTGGATGGCCCAGGAGGTCTCTTCCAACTCTAGGATTCTAGGGTTCTACAGCAGAAGTCAATTGAGCTGGACTGGTGGACAAAGCTGAAGGATAGACATGGATGTTGATAATAGAATCAAAAAGTTGGAAGATACCTTGGTGGGCCATCCAGTCCAATCCCCCTTCTGCCAAGAAGCAGGAAAATCACATTCAAAGCACCCCTGACAGATGGCCATGCAGCCTCTGCTTAAAAGCCTCCAAGGAGCCTCCACCACATGTTCAGGTGGAATCTCTTTCTTGTAGTTTGAAGCCATGGTTCCATTGCGTCCTGGTCTCCAGGGCAGCAGAAAACAAGCTTGCTCCCTCCTCCCTAGGACTTCTTCTCACGTATTAATACATAGCCCTCATAATGTCTCATCTCCACCTTCTCTTCTTTAGGCTAAACATGCCCAGCTCTTTAAGCCGCTCCTCATAGGGCTTGTTCTCCAGATCCTTGATCATTTGAGTCGCCCTCCTCTGGACACGTTCCAGCTTGTCAATATCTCTCTTCAGTTGTGGAGCCCAAAATTGGACACAATATTCCAAGTGTGGTCTAACCAAGGCAGAATAGAGGATGGGGAGCATGACTTCCCTAGATCTAGACACTAGGCTCCTCTTGATACAGGCCAAAATCCCATTGGCTTTTTTTGCCGCCACATCACATTCCTGGCTCATGTCCCCCTTCCTCCCCACGAGGACTCCCAGATCCTTTCTCCACGTCCTGTTCTCAAGCCAGGCATCTTCCCAATTCTGTATCTTTGCATTTCATTTTTTCCTGCCTAAGTGGAGTCTCTTGCATTTGTCCCTGTTGAACTTCATTTTGTTGGTGTTGGTCCATCATCTCTCTAATCTGTGAAGATGGTTTGGAATTCTGTTCTTGCCTTCTGGAGTCTTGGCTCTCTAATTCGGTCCTGTCTGCAAACTTGATGATCCTGCCTTAGAACCCTTCATCTAAGTCATGAATGAAGATCCTGAGCAGGACCGGGCCCAGGAGGGAATCCTCCTGATGGCACTCCACTTGTCTCGTCTTTCCAAGATGAAGAGGAGGAGGCATCAGTGAGAACCCTGTGGGGTCATTCACTTAACCAATGACAGATCCACCTCACCGTAGTTTGTCTAGTCCACATTGGACTAGTGTCCTTGCCAGAAGGTCACGGGGGACCTTGTCAAAAGCCTTCCTGAAATCCAGAGACGTTCCATCCACGGCATTCCCTGCCTCTACTCAGCTTGCAACTCAATCTTTATCCATATCTGCTATAGACTGTTGATTCCTGCAGAAGAGGGTTGGACTGGATGGCTCTTAGGGACCCCTTCCAACGGCATGATTCTCTGGAGGAGGACAACAAGGCAAATGGCTTGGACCCCACCATCCTTTGCTTTTGGAGGGCCTCCTGTACCCCAGCCCTAGTTGGGCAGCCCCCTCAGCCCCCACCGAGCCCCCTGCCCCACCTTTGGGTGCCTCTCCCGCCTCACATTTTGTGAGCAACACCAGACTCCCCTCTTTGGTGCCTCATTGCCCAGAGCATTGCTCCCAGCTGGATGCTGGTGACTAATACCATAATTACCCCATTAAACATTTACGTCCCCAGCACGCCCTCCTCCCTTCCCCAGCATGTGCCGCTTCCTCTGGCCTTTCCCCCCAGTTTCCTATTTTAGACGCAGACCCCCCTCCTTGCATTTAGACCATACTTGCTACTATGGGAACCACGCTGTCGTTGGCACGGAAGGAGGGTGCCAAGGACAGGGCTTTGCAGAATGAGGCCACGAAGGCAACCCTTTGCAGGGCTTCCAACATCATAACAGACCTCGAGGCAACCTTGCCTTGAACCTCTCTCTCCCTCCAGACACAGCCTTCTCTTTTTGCCATGGCCAAACCAAGA